AAAAAAAAAAAAAAAAAAAAATTAATAATTTTGTATGAATTTACATAATTTCTTTTAGATTGCATAGAAAATAGGACTATATTTAAATGATAAGTCGATAAAAATAAAATGCTGAAAATATCGCAGGAGTTTTATTTACATTTATAGATAACAAATTTAGACAGATGTTTGATAGCACGCCAATGGGAGGATTACATTCTTACATACATCACAGTTAGGGAGATAAAGTCAGGTACAGTTAGAGATTCATCTAGCAGTTAACTATGTGAATTGAGGACTTTGCATTGCTCTTTGGTATTTTTTAAAAGTTTTTTCTTGTTCTTTTGGGGTGTATACACAGTTACAGTTATGCATATATAAGTCTGCTATCATATTACAAGGGGGGGGGATTTGGTAGGAAATGTGCCTCAATTATCAATTGGTTAATCAAAAGAAAAAGAAAACGGAGTTACTTAGGTTGTGACAGACACACAGAGGAAGCTAAAGGCCAAATGCATAGACTTACGCAATTTTCTCTGAGGGCGAACGCCAAGGCATCTCGTCGTCAATCTCATCGTCGCTCTCATCGCCCTCCTCGCCATCGTCGTTGCCGGCTATGCTAAACGATGAGGACGTAAACATATCCGGCACGGGCAATATGGAGGGTCGACGACTGCCTGCAGATTGTGTGAAAATATAACGGTTATTTGGGCCCAATTGAGCTATAGGGTTACACTGTCTATTGCGTATTTCTTTCTTACCTCTACGCTGATTGAGCACATCGGGACTGAGCAGATTGGGATTGTTGGCGAACGGCACGTCCAGGTGATTGCCCGTGGTGGTCAGTGCGGCAGGTGTGATGCTCAGCGAGGTGCCCATGTTGAGGCCGACGCCCAGGCCGCCGCCGCTGCTGCTGGAGCTGGCCTGATTTTGGCCACCCGTCCCACTGCTGCCAGCTGCCCCGCCGCCGCCTCCTAGCACCAGCGATGTTGTTGTTATTGTTGTCGTCGTCGTCGCAGCCGCCGCCGTCGGTAAATGCGTTGTGCTCACCGTTGTGTCCTTTAGATTCTGCCGGGAGTCCGATATTATCACAGCCGTCGGTGTGTCGCTGGCTACAGAGGGTAAATTTGCAATCGGAAATTTATTAAGATTTTTCGCTCAGTGTACCACAGTGTGCGCGCTCAATTAGACCGCAGTGCATTAACGCAAAGTATTAAGCACAGAATTTATAGCTACTTGAACAAAATGTCGTTGCTTTACATGTAAAATTCACTAATAGTTTAGCCAAACAACAAACAACTAGGATGAAGAAGCTGAACGACGACGGCACAAAACAGTGTGGGATGGAGGAGACACACAGAGAAAGAGAGAAAGAGAAAGAGAGAGAGAGAGACAGAGAGAGAAAACGTCGTGCAGTGGTGGAGAACCTGTTCAACTCATTAAAAGTCTTTTCAATTCAAGGACCAAGAACTGTGCAGCTGACAAAGTTGCCCATTGCCAAGTGGTTAAGCAGCAGGAGTAGCAGCAGCAGCAGTAGCAGCAGGAGTAGATGCCAATGACATTAGCTTAAAGTGAGTCTTGAATATGCAATTAATCCTTGTGAAATATGCGAAATATGATATTCTGAGAGGCTAACTTTCGAAATTTTATTTATTAAAAAAAAAAAATAATAATAATAAAAAATAAAACAAAAACATTTAATTAGATCAAATTCTGTGATTTGGATTAAAAAATAAATTAAAAAAAAAAAAAACATTTAATAAGATAAAATTCTATTTGTCCAAGCAATTGAAAAAGCTTTAACTGTGTATTAAAAAGTCATTATAGTATTATACATATACTGCATTAAACCTTTTGAGTATTAAAAAGTTTCGCTAAATACATTACCAAAAAAAAAAAAAAAAATTTAATAAAAAAAAAATAAAATAAAANTATATATATATTAATGTTCTATTTCGGGTGCTGGAACAATCAAAATATTTATTTAAAAAAAAAATAAAATTAAGTCAATATAAACAAAGGCAAAATAATACAAAAACAAACATAAGGAAAAGTTGTTGCCATTTGCCAGCAGGAGCTAATAAATTATGCTGTTTCTCAGTAAATTAACACACACTGGTCGTATTGACAGCACAGACACATACAGTGAAGCTTCGCTGGCCAAACATATGTTGTTCATATTGCGTGTCAGTGAATAGAAACCAGCATCAGACACCAGTCAACAATTCCTTTAATGCAAACACGTGTGTATATATGTATGTATTTGTGCGTCTCTATAAGTAAGTGTGTCTATGTGTGTGTGTACTAGCACTTTGCATGCCAATGGCTACAGCTGCCGCTGAGGCGCCGCTCGCTGAACAACGCATTCGAGCGTGGGTGTCGAACTTTCCCCCAAACGATGTAAACATGCAGCGGCAACAACTATTTATTTACTCTTCCCTCGCATATGCAGTGTATAAAAGTGAAATTGCAAGCGTATTCTAAGACACCTATACACGATAGAAGACTATATATGCCAAACTTATCGATAATAAAAGATTAAGAACATTTAAATATAGAATATTTCCTCATATGAATTTTCACTTTTTTCATATATTGGGTCGTTCCCTAAGTATTTTCGTTTTATTTTCTTTTCTTCGGTGAAATTCAAACATTATTATTAGACATTGAGAATACACTTGTTAAATGGCCTTGCTATGTTACAAGAAATGTTCTATTTGATTTCTCATAAATATAAATATTAATATTACAAACTTCGTTAGAAATTTAATGATCAGATATGCGAAAATGTTCATAGTACTTTTTTTTATAAATAAATGTATAAATAAATAAATAATTAAATGTTCCTTATACTATTTTTTTATAAATATACTTACTTCAATGCGCCAGATCTCTAGGCCAGGTGCACGACCGGCATTGGCAAAAGCTGGATGCATGATGCGTCTGGCTGGCTGCTTGTTGGTGCCACTAGCGGGTTGAACGTCAGCAGTTGGGACTGGGAACGCGGGCCGAGTGTTGAATGTGCCGGCTGAGCAGAATCTCGTAGCAATGCCGATGAATACGACCAAACTGCTAAAAGTGAAAATAATTCAGTTTCTATTATTCAACTAAACGGCTTTTTCAGGCAACAAGTTGACCTATCTAGCTGAACCGGACTGTCACAGGTTTCAATGTCAGTGAGTCATAACCATAAAAGGTTGTTCAAACGCGGAGAGTCTCACTTGTCGTTTGATGTACTGTACTCGAAAAACTGGCCAAACATATACATAGTTGACAAGCATGAGAGCATGAACAATTGATATTCTTTTAATGAACGCGCTCGCGGCCTATGAGTAATACACTATTTGCACTATTTATTTACCTAAAAAGGTAATCTATGAGAGTTGTCTAATAAAACTTATTAAATCAGTCAACAAATAAGGACGTCGTTAAAACTTCGATTCAAAGTGACTATTATCAGAACAATAAAGTCTAAGATTTTTGGCACATTCTAGATCAGAATTTCAGTCTGATAAAAATGCGGAAAATCTGATTAAGACTTACAATTTTGTATATGTATAATTGCGTTATTTATGAGCTCGCGCCGTATAAGTAATATTTGCACTAGAAAATAGCTTTTTTTTACACTTTGCTCTGCTCTATTCAAAACTGGGAGCTTATTAGCTAGCGAACCACTCGCTTGCATTACCTGCAGATGACTGCCAGATGACGGGCGGCGCTTCGCTTTGCCATTTCGTGGCGGCGTTGGCTTCTGGGGGCGATGGAGCGAGCGACAGGGGATGAGGCTACTCGCTGAGCGCCTTTGTTTATTGTTGCTTGATATATATAAATATATATGCGCTTGTGTGTAGCAGCTTGTGTCGGTCGAATGGTTGCTATTATTATGTAGTATTCGTCTTTGTTTTTATCTTTCCCAACTTAAACACAGAAAAGAGAAGAATGAACTGTGAATGAGAAAGAACAACAGGTTATTAAAGCATTGATAAAAACATGAGACATAAACATTATTTGATATGAAACGCACCTTACTCCAAGTCAAACAAATTAAATTCACAAGATATCTATATCATGATATCTATATAATAATAATTTATTATCTGTACAATAAATCAAATGAAATAATTTTCAATATTTAAATATCCACTCTGATATAGACTAAATGATTATTATATTATTATTATATACGACTATTCCTCATTTCAATCTACTTCCCATCTTCTTTCAACTTTCAGCTCATGTCATTGGCGTCTGAGCGCTGTCAAGTTTTTGGCCCCGTAATATTGACTTTCAGTTAAGGTGTGTAGTTGGAACTTAATTGCGTTGGTTCACAGCACAGTCAAAGCCACAAGTTGGCTTGCCTAATGACGGTGCCTCATTTGCAGAGGCTTGTTACCACGCTTTAATTAAGACGAAAGGCGACAGCAGCCACATAAATTTCGGCCACAAAATACACGAGTATTTTGATAGAACTATTTCCTAGCCTGCTTTTGGCAAACACGCAACAGTTGCCGCTGTGGCCACAGACGGATGTGGGCAAACGCTGCGTATACGCGATGTGAGTACGGTGCACAGCATTGCGTATACGCGATGAGCGCCAACAAATTGTTGCGTGTACATTGCATATAATTTACAATTGACAATATCAACTAACAATAAAAATCAATAAACAATCGAGAGATGGAGAGAGAGAGAGAGACAGGGAGAGAGACATAAAACATTTAGAAAGGGGTTCACAATATGAGACATGCAATAAAATACGTCGAAAGGAACAACAAGTGCTAAAAGCAAAATGAAGCAAAAGACAAAAATAGCATCGCGAAAGTAACTGAAATTGCTTCAGCATAGTGTGCGAGAGTGTGTGTGTGTGTGTGTGGGGAGTGTATGTATGTGTGTGTGTATGACACCTGTCACTAATGGCTTTCAAATAGCGGAAAATGGTTGTCGGGCTGGGCAGGCTTACAAATGGGTCCAAAGGCATTTACAGGCGCTAAGCAAAACTTAAGTTCTAGACAAAAATAAAACATGTATATATAGAAAGAGAAGGCAATACAAAGAGTGTTAAATATATATATATAGAGAGAGAGAGAGACAGAGAGAACTAGAGGTAAAGAGTACTGTTATGTAAAGGTGTTTTCAAAAGGTGATAATTATAGAAATGTTTTGGATTTGGATTTTTGTTATGCATTTCTTTCGGTATGAGTTAGTATATAAAAAACTTTTGGAGTTGTTCAGTACAATTGGAGAAGGTTCTTTTTTTGTTTTTTGTTTTAGTATTATTTTTGGGGAGTTTCTTTTCTTGGAGTCACACTCACGCACAAATAGTGTTGTATAATCACTGTCACATGTTAGTTGTTGCATTTGCGGATACGGTTGCGGTGATGGTGACGGTGACGGTGGCGGATACGGATACAACGGTTGCAAGTGTTGCCTCTCAATTAGGGGCGTGCCGGCGCCAGAGTCATAGGTGGGACTATGGGGCACACGAACACAAACAGACGGCACGGCTGCAATCGTCGATTGATTCAAAGCGATTGCTGTTGCAGTTGCTGTTGTTGTTGTTGATGCTGATGCTGATAATAATGTTGATGATGTGAGAGTCGTGCTAATTGTTGTTGGTATTGTTCTGGTTGTTGTTGTTGTTGTTGATTGTTTTGTTGTTGTTGTTGTATTCGCTACACATACATTATACGATATATATGATATTATAATAT